ACGAATGGTGCATTTTCTTACACGCACGAATGGTGTATTTTCTTACACGCACGAATGGCGTATTTTCTTACACGCACGAATGCGTATTTTCTTACACGCACGAATGTGTAATTTTCTTAACGCACGAATGTGTATTTTCTTACACGCACGAATGGTGTATTTTCTTACACGCACGAATGGTGTATTTTCTTACACGCACGAATGGTGTATTTTCTTAGACGCACGAATGGTGTATTTTCTTAAACGCACGAATGGTGTATTTTCTTACACGCACGAATGGAGTATTTCTTACACGCACGAATGGGTATTTTCTTACACGCACGAATGGAGTATTTTCTTACACGCACGAATGGTGTATTTTCTTACACGCACGAATGGAGTATTTTCTTACACGCACGAATATAGTATTTTCTTACACGCACGAATGAAGTATTTTCTTACACGCACGAATGGAGTATTTTCTTACAACGACACGAATGAGTAGTTTCTTACACGCACGAATGGAGTATTTCTTAAGCACAATGATATTTCTACCCACAATGCTGTATTCTTATACAGCACGAAGGTGTATTTTCTTACAGCACGATGGTGTATTCTTACACCACGAATGGTGTATTTTCTTTCACGCAGACTGGTGTATTTTCTTACACGCACGAATGTGATTTTCTTACACGCACGAATGGTGTATTTTCTTACACGCACAATGATATTTCTTACCGCACGATGGTGATATTCTTAACACAGCACGATGTGTATTTTCTTACACGCACGATGGGTATTTTCTACACGCACGAATGTTATTTCTCACAGCACGAATGAAGTATTTTCTTACACGCACCTAATGAATTATTTCTTACACGACACGAATGGACTATTTTCTTACACGCACGATGGAGAGTTTCTACACACGCACGAATGGAGTATTTTCTACACGCGACAATGGAGTATTTTCTTACAACGCACGAATGGGGTATTTTCTTACACGCACGAATGGAGTATTCTATACGCACGAATGGAGTAGTTCTTACACGCACGAATGGAATTTCTTACAGACGGATATTTCTTACACGCACGAATGGAGTATTTTCTCTACACGCACGAATGGGTATTTTTCAACACATGACACTCACAGCACTGATTTTTAACATTTTAACCTGAAGGAACTCACAACGCCGGCTAACACACGCACCTACTATTATTACTGCTAGGTGGACAGAGGCAACACACGTACCTGCTATTATTACTGCTAGGTGGACAGGGGCAACACACGTACCTGCTATTATTACTGCTAGGTGGACAGGGGCAACACACGCACCTGCTATTATTACTGCTAGGTGGACAGAGGCAACACACGCACCTACTATTATTACTGCTAGGTGGACAGGGGCAACACACGTACCTGCTATTATTACTGCTAGGTGGACAGGGGCAACACACGCACCTACTATTATTACTGCTAGGTGGACAGGGGCAACACACGCACCTACTATTATTACTGCTAGGTGGACAGGGGCAACACACGCACCTGCATTATTAGTGCTAGGTGACAGGGGAACACACACCTACTTTATTATGCTGGTGGACAGGGGCAACACACGCACCTACTATTATTACTGCTAGGTGGACAGGGGCAACACACGCACCTACTATTATTACTGCTAGGTGGACAGGGGCAACACACGCACCTACTATTATTACTGCTAGGTGGACAGGGCACCACGCACTATATTGCTAGGTGGACAGGCACACACGCACCTACTATTATTACTGCTAGGTGGACAGGGGCAGCACACGCACCTACTATTATTACTGCTAGGTGGACAGGGGCAACACAGGTGTGAGGGAACCCGCTCACATGTTTCTCTGTGCCAGGAAATTAAGGCTGCAAGTCACTTGTACATTTCATTATGGATGCGTTAATACCTAAAATTGGAATTAAGGTATACAGTCAGTTTACATACACAAACACACCTCTGGTTATATATATATATATATATATATATATATATATATATATATATATTATATATATATATATATATATATATATATATATATATATATATATATATATTTTTGTATAGGATATAGTAGTGGTAATGCTGCTCCTATGTGATGATTTAGGGTTGTCATCTCCTAGACTACTGACACAACCACAGTGTGTTGGCACATGTCACAGGTTGTGTCTGTGAGTCATGATGGATTTCTCCCGATGCAGCAGCCTTGAGATCTTAAGTTCATTGCGTCCTAAAACGCTGCTATGCACCTAGCTAGCCAGGTGCCCAACACCATACCCACCCACCTACCCACCCAGCCCGCCCTTCCGCCAACGCCCACTCACCTAGAGTCTACCCGGAGAGTGTTCCAAGCGTCACCACATTCGCGGTGCGGTCCATTCCCTGGCCTACTAGTGGATAGCCTGATCAACCAGGCTGCTGGTGCTTACCGTACGAAGTCCAACATATGCACCACAGTCTGGCTGATCTGGGACTGGCTGGAGAAGTTGTCCAGTTCTTTCTTGAAGAACCTACACGTCTGGTGGTAATACCTTATCAATGAATGGAGGACTGGGAATAAATCTTATTCCCCTAGCCTGCCATTAATCTTGCCCCACTCCACAGCACTTGCCCGGGGCATCTGGGTCACCATGAGTGGAGAAGGATATGTAAGAGATTGGAGGAGGATAGAGGAGATGTATGGAAGAATATGGAGAACTGAGACCTGGAGGATAAGATTGGAGGTCGGGGACTAAATGAGGCTTATAGGATGAGAATTAAGGATGAGCTGGTAGATGAGAAGTATCAACCCGACTGAAGGATTGAAGGATGAGTCTAGAGGAGGAGCTGGTCTTGAAGGCTCTCCTTAGGGTGCACAATACCCCTCTCAAGCTATCCTCCGCTACCATCTCCTCCATCCTCCACAACCATCCCCTCCACCCTCCACTACCATCCCCTCCATCCTCCACTACCATCCCTCCATCCTCCACTACCATCCCTTCCATCCTCCACTACCATCCCCCACTACCATCCTCTCCATCCTGCACAACCATCCCCTCAATCCTCCACTACCATCCCCTCAATCCTCCACTACCATCCCCTCCATCCTGCACAACTATCCCTTCAATCCTTCACTACCAACCCCTCCATCCTCCACTGCCAACCCCTCCATCCCCCACAACCATCCCTTCAATCCTTCACTACCATCCCCTCCATCCTCCATTACCATCCCTTCCATCCTCCACTACCATCCTCCACAACCATCCCCTCCATCCTCCACAACCATCCCCTCCATCCTCCACTACCAACCCCTCCATCCCCCACTACCATCCTTCCATCCTCCACTACCATCCCCCTCCATCCTCCACTACCATCCCTTCCATTCTCCACTACCATCCTCCAATACCATCCCCTCCATCCTCCACTACCATCCCCTCCATCCTCCACTACCATCCCCTCCATCCTCCATTACCATCCCTTCCATTCTCTACTACCATCCTCCCACCATCATCCCCCTCCATCCTCCACAACCATCCCCTCCATCCTCCACTACCAACCCCTCCATCCCCCACTACCATCCCTTCCATCCTCCACTACCATCCCCCTCCATCCTCCACTACCATCCCTTCCATTCCCACTACCATCCCTCCAATACCATCCCCTACCATCCCCTCCACTACATCCCTCCATCCTCCATAACCATCCCCTCCATCCTCCACTACCATCCCCTCCATCCTCATTACACCATCCCCTCCATCCTCCACTAACCATCCTCCAATACCCATCTCCCTCCATCCTCCACTACCATCCCCTCCATCCTCCACACCCCACCACCATCCCCTCCATCCTCCACTACCAACCTCTCCATCCCCCACTACCATCCCTTTCCATCCTCCACTACCATACATCCCCTCCATCCTCCACTACCATCCCTTCCATTCTCCACTACCATCCTCCAATACACCTTCCTCCTCCATCCTCATTAACCATCCCCTCCATCCTCCACTACCATCCCCTCCATCCTCATTAACCATCCCCTCCATCCTCCACTACCATCCTCCAATACCATCCCCTCCATCCTCCACTACCATCCCCTCCATCCTCCACCATCATCCCCTCCATCCTCCACAACCATCCCCTCCATCCTCCACTACCAACCCCTCCATCCCCCACTACCATCCCTTCCATCCTCCACTACCATCCCCCTCCATCCTCCACTACCATCCCTTCCATTCTCTCACTACCATCCTCCAATACCATCCCCTCCATCCTCCACTACATCCTCTCCATCCTCCATAACCATCCCCTCCATCCTCCACTACCATCCCCTCCATCCTCATTAACCATCCCCTCCATCCTCCACTACCATCCTCCAATACCATCCCCCTCCATCCTCCACTACCATCCCCTCCATCCTCCACTAACCATCCCCTCCATCCTCCACTACCATCCCCCTCCATCCTCCACTACCATCCCCTCCATCCTCCACTACCAACCCCTCCAATCCCCCCACTACCATCCCTTCCATCCTCCACTACCATCCCCCTCCATCCTCCACTACCATCCCTTCCATCCTCCACTACCCATCCTCCACAACCATCCCCTCCATCCTCCACTACCATCCCCTCCATCCTCCACAACCATCCACTCCATCGTCCACTACCATCCTCTCCATCCTCCACAAAAATCCCCTCCATCCTCCACTACCATCCCCTCCATCCTACATACCATCCCCTCCATCCTCCACTACCATCCTTCCATCCTCCACTACCATCCTCTTCCATCCTCCACGACCATCCCCTCCACCCTCCACTACCATCCCCTCCATCCTCCACTACCATCCCCTCCATCCTCCACTACCATCCCCTCCATCCTCCACTACCATCCCCTCCATCCTCCACAAGCATCCCCCCATCCTCCACTACCGTCCCCTCCACCCTCCACCTCCACCCTCCACGCTCAATCTCCACCCTCCACCTCCACCCTCCACCTCTACCCTCCACCTCCAACCTCCACCCTCAACCTCCACCTCCACCCTCAACTTCCACCCTCAACCTCCACCCTCCACCTCCAACCTCCACCTCCACCCTCCACCTTCATGGGTGGGTGGTGGTGGGTGGACCAGACTCTGCTAGTAGACCAGTTCCTCTGGGGAGTGGAGGAATTGTATTCAGCAGCTCGTGGTCTAACCTCATCCTCGAAGCCTCTAGGTGGATTAACATCCACCTGCGCATCCTTCACACTCATCCTACAAGCCCCAACTCTCACCTATCCACCCAGCTTTTCCCTAGTCTTTATCAAATTCTGCCCAATTTTCCAATAAACTCTGTCCTTCCCTTCAACAGGTGCCTGGCGGCCTAGCAGAGGCTGTGGACGGGAGTTGTGGTGGGTGGTGGCAGTGGGCGGTGAGGGCAGGCTGTCGCGGGTGGCAGTGGGCGGTGACGGCTGGTGGTTGTAGGTGGCAGTGGGCGGTGACGGCTGGTGGTTGTGGGTGGCAGTGGGCGGTGACGGCTGATGGCTGTGGGTGGCAGTGGGCGGTGACGGTCAGCAGGTGGACCAGGTGGCTCCTGATTCTGGTTGCACCTGCTGAGTCAGGTATCACCCGACACCGCACGACAACTGGTCTTTACATCAATATTAATAGATTCTTCTGTGTAATACATTCTGTTAAGCAGTCTCAAATATTTATTCAATTACATGGCGAGGCTAGACTGGTGGTGGCTAGCTAGATGGCTGGCCAGGTATACGCTGGACAGACTGGTGGGATGGTGGTGGCTAGCTAGATGGCTGGCCAGGTGTACGCTGGACAGACTGCTGGGATGGTGGTGGCTAGCTAGATGGCTGGCCAGGTGTACGCTGGACAGACTGGTGGGATGGTGGTGGCTAGCTAGATGGCTGGCCAGGTGTACGCTGGACAGACTGCTGGGATGGTAGTGGCTAGCTAGATGGCTGGCCAGGTGTACGCTGGACACACTGCTGGGATGGTGGTGGCTAGCTAGATGGCTGGCCAGGTGTACGCTGGACAGACTGCTGGGATGGTGGTGGCTAGCTAGATGGCTGGCCAGGTGTACGCTGGACAGACTGGTGGGATGGTGGTGGCTAGCTAGATGGCTGGCCAGGTGTACGCTGGACAGACTGGTGGGATGGTGGTGGCTAGCTAGATGGCTGGCCAGGTGTACGCTGGACAAAGGTGACCAGAACAACCTGCGATTCGGTAAAAGCAGCTTATAGCCACTAGGTCACTTCTTCAGGAAAGAGGTTCACTGAGGTTGAAACCATCAACCAGAAACGTAGTGTGGATGTGTTGACGACTAGAATGATAACCCAGAAGTAACAATATAGGTCGCGTTCCCTCTCTTCTTACTTAATGTTCAACTTGAGGACAGCTTTAATATTTATAATATAGCTCTGGTTAGTAATATATTTTTGAATATATAAAAACGCTAATTACATAATGAATATTAATCAAAATATAACCTTAAACAAGAAAAATGAAAATTTGTGACTTTCATAAATCACAAGGATCCCGTGTTTGATATCACCTGGTTTGGTGTGGCTGCAATTAACGGGAATGTATATGGTAAACTAAGCTATTTGGCTAGTGTTCAGCTCATATTCTGTAATTTCATCTAATGTCTTTTAATTTTATCAAAACTTTCACTTGAAATATTCTAAGGCACAGTACAATAATCATATTTGAGGCAGTTCAACTTGTACCAAAATACACATTCCACGGGAAGTCCGTTGTAGCATTCAGTCAGCCCAGATGGCAACTACACTGTTGGTACTGCCTACACGTGGAAGGAAACAAACTACACCACAGGGCCATGGAGAGGCCACCTGGACCAGTACTGAAGGAAGAGGAATGGAAATGGTCCCAAAAGTGAAAGCTTTCTTGTTTCCAAAGGTCACTGGTCTTTGGTATGGCTGCTAGGTACTATCGTTGCAGTAACTAGTGGCTGCCGGGAAGAATTCTGGGGACAAGTCTGATGGACAGACCGCATATGTTTCGAGAGGTAGTAAGTAAGAAGCAATACCAGGAAAATATTACACATTAAGAGAGAAGGTGTTGCTTGCAACGCCCACATGGGTGTGGGTAACCAATTTTCTTTTTCTAAACCTTCTCTTCTATTTTTCAGATCTATGAGGACAGCACGCATCTGTTCATTTGTTCCCATTATACTGAAAATATGTAATATGTTATGTGAGTGTCCCACATAATCAAAACATCCAGGTGCAAGTCGCTCAGGAATATGTGAACCGTAGAAAAACGATGCAGTAATTACACAGAAAAACTGATTGAGGTGGTAGATGCGAGACTCTCCACACGACTCAGTACTAGTGTCACATGTGTACAGCCATACCACTAGTGGAAACGAGTCCCACACAAAGGGCTCAACAAAGGCTGCAACACGCAGCGTTTTCTGAAAGCCCGGGTGGATAATAAAACGAGATAGACTTGCACATAGAGTGGCCAAGACGGCGTTTACTGCCGCAACCGGAAGGTAGATCTGTGAAAACCAAGAGTTCATGAGGTTTGGCGGAAAGCAGTAACTATAGTAAAGATATGCTACAGCCCAACTGTACATGGCTATAGCTAGGTAATCAATGAAGAAACATATGTGCGTAGCTGTGAGAGATAAGCAAGAAAAGGCATGTGCCAGGCAGCTCATGAGAGGATAGCAACAGGCGGCTATCATGTAGCAGGTAAGAGGGAAGAGATAAGGGTCCTCAAAGAGCGGCATAATAGTTGACAGAGAGACCAAGAGCCAGGCAAAATATACACTGGCAACAAAATGCGTCCAGAAGTTGACAGTCTCATTGGTGGCATTAAAAAGTGAAGCAACTGCTTGGATGACAGAACAGTTCTCGTGTCTGTAGCCAGTGATGATGCCAGGCTCACGCAGGGGTTCCGACACTTCTTCCACCCTCTTCACGTGAATTCGTCCAACTTCACGCAGCCGACCTGTTACATTCCTGGCTTCCCTTAACCGGCCTGTCACATAACCAACGTTGGGAAACATTTTGATAACTTTAATACTAAACTTCGATGTAATCCTCAACACTAGTGCGTCAATGTGCACAATTTAGATGACATGTTATGATACAGCTCACTTTATTACAGTATCGTAGAAGGTTACTGGGAAGGTTGATCACAGGTTCTTGGCGATGATGAGAGTAGTGATGAAAGTAGTAGTGGTGATGGTAATTACTGTGGTTGTAGTGGAGTGGCTGATAGCACAGTTAGTGATGCAGCAACACCTACGACTATCTGCTGCTTCTCCTCCAGTCACCTAACCATCATATCTGGAAATAAAAAACAAACTGTCATTACTAATAGTAATATTATAACTCTGTTTACGCATTATATGCATATTAATATAACTCTCAGCTCAGTGCATCCAATCACAGGCTCAAAATTTATTATATAAAATACAGAATAAATAATTCCTTAACACCAGTGCAGTTACTAATAGTTACTAATAGTTACTAATAGTTACTAATAGTTACTAATAGTTACTAATAGTTACTAATAGTTAGATGGACGAACTTGGAATTTTATGAGGCGTCTTGACTGATATACCAGTGAATACCACTCTAGACTGATACACCAGTGAGTACCACTCTAGACTGATACACCAGTGAGTACCACTCTAGACTGATACACCAGTGAGTACCACTCTAGACTGATACACCAGTGAGTACCACTCTAGACTGATACACCAGTGAGTACCACTCTAGACTGATACACCATTGAGTACCACACTAGAGTGATACGCCACTGAGTACCACTCTAGACTGATACAAACAATGAGTACCATTCTTTGGACTGATAACCCTGAGTTACCACTCTAGACTGATACACCCCCACTGAGTACCACTCTAGACTGATAGACCAGTGAGTACCACTCTAGACTGATAACCATGAGTACCACTCTAGACTGAAAAACACCACTGAAATACCACTCTAGACTGATACACCACTGAGTACCACTCTAGACTGATACACCAGTGAGTACCACTCTAGACTGATACACCACTGAGTACCACTCTAGACTGATACACCAGTGAGTACCACTCTAGACTGATACACCACTGAGTACCACTCTAGACTGATACACCAGTGAGTACCACTCTAGACTGATACAGACTGAGTACCACTCTAGACTGATACACCAGTGAGTTTCCACTCTAGACTGATACACCAGTGAGTACCACTCTAGATGATACACCACTGAGTACCACTCTAGACTGATACAACACTGAGTACCATTCTAGACTGATACACCACTGAGCACCACTCTAGACTGATACACCACTGAGTACCACTCTAGACTGATATACCAGTGAGTACCACTCTAGACTGATACACCAGTGAGTACCACTCTAGACTGATACACCAGTGAATACCACTCTAGACTGATATACCAGTGAGTACCACTCTAGACTGATACACCAGTGAATACCACTCTAGACTGATACACCAGTGAATACCACTCTAGACTGATTTCCCACTGAGTACCACACTGGGGTGATACCCACTGGTACCACTCTAGACTGATACAACACTGAGTTTTCCATTCTAGACTGGGTACACCCCTGAGCACCACTCTAGACTGATACACCACTGAGTACCACTCTAGACTGATACACCAGTGAGTACCACTCTAGACTGATACACCAGTGAGTACCACACTAGAGTGATACACCACTGAGTACCACTCTAGACTGATACACCACTGAGTACCACTCTAGACTGATACACCACTGAGTACCACTTTTTAGACTGAATAACCACTGAGTACCACTCTAGACTGATTACACACTGAGTACCCCCTTCTAGAAATGATACACCAGTGAGTACCACTCTAGATGAACCCATGAGTACCACCTCTAGACTGATACACCAATGATACCACTCTAGATGATACCCTGATACCCCTCTAGACTGATACAATAATACACTCTAGACTGAAAAACAGTGAGTACCACTCTAGACTGATAAACCCGTGAGTACCACTCTAGATGATACACCATGAAACCACTCAGACTGATTACACCATGTTACCACTCTAGACGATACACCATGAGTACCCCTCTGACTGACACACCATGATACCACTGTAGACTGATACACCATGATACCACCTCTTTCCAAGAAATTCAGAATTTGTGACTGTCAATGGTGCAATCCCCCATGAATATTTAAAACATAGACAAGTGAATCAGTAGAACTTTATCCCTGACAGTTTTGTAAAGGAAACCATTGGTTTTCTACTGTTGAGGCGGACGGTTCCCCGTAAACATCTTTACCCTGAACATCAGACGGACTAGAGACATCACCTTCCCAGTGACCTTTTATCAATGAAACAAAACCGTGAACACCTGCAATACCCACAATAAGCTTTCAATTCTGAACACAGGGTTATATTGATTTTAAACCCTGAGTACACCTAATACTGTCACCTTGTAACCCATAGTATACCCTAAATTTTCTTTCAGAAAGGCACTCTTTTAAAACCTACAATGGGAATAGAGAAACGTGGGCAATCTAGCGTCAGGTCCAAAACCAAAACTTATACTTCCCCCAGACACTAAACTGATGCCCAACACAATACTGAACTAACTCTTATCGTCTGCATCACCTCTATCATAAGCATCCTCTGCATTATCTTCCGGATTCTCCTTCGTCACATGGTTTACACACCTGTCAGATCTTCCACGACTGGAAGCAGCTGTCCATCTATATCCCAACATCCAGCTGTCGGAGGTAATTAAGTTCCGTCCTTGTGAGCTAAACTTTGTAGCGGAGATCTGACATTGTTTCTCAAGCCTCGAACCAATGGCAACTTGTAACGATATATGTATTTGTAAATAACATTTGACATGTTTACAGAGTTATCTCCTCGAGTTGTTAACTTATTTGCCACTTTAAGAGACATTACGCTGTATAGCCCTTGTGGCTTAGCGCTTCTTTTTGATTATATAATAATAATAAGAGACATTACAGTAAATTTTATCAGTGCCGCAGTAACAAGCTAGTGTATCACAGCGAACACATGAGCTGACAACACACGTGCAGCTTAACAGCGAACATATGAACTGACAACACACGTGCAGCTTAACAACGAACATATGAGCTGACAACACACGTGCAGCTTAACAGCGAACACGTGAACTGACAACACACGTGCAGCTTAACAGCGAACACATGAACTGACAACACACGTGCAGCTTAACAGCGAACACATGAGCTGACAACACACGTGCAGCTTAACAGCGAACACATGAGTTGACAACACACGTGCAGCTTAACAGCGAACACATGAACTGACAACACACGTGCAGCTTAACAGCGAACACATGAGTTGACAACACACGTGCAGCTTAACAGCGAACACATGAGCTGACAACACACGTGCAGCTTAACAGCGAACACATGAGTTGAAAAACACACGTGCAGCTTAACAGCGAACACATGAGCTGACAACACACGTGCAGCTTAACAGCGAACACATGAGTTGACAACACACGTGCAGCTTAACAGCGAACACATGAACTGACAACACACGTGCAGCTTAACAGCGAACACATGAGCTGACAACACACGTGCAGCTTAACAGCGAACACATGAACTGACAACACACGTGCAGCTTAACAGCGAACACATGAGCTGACAACACACGTGCAGCTTAACAGCGAACACATGAGTTGACAAAAACACGTGCAGCTTAACAGCGAACACATGAGCTGACAACACACGTGCAGCTTAACAGCGAACACATGAACTGACAACACACGTGCAGCTTAACAGCGAACACATGAGCTGACAACACACGTGCAGCTTAACAGCGAACACATGAGCTGACAACACACGTGCAGCTTAACAGCGAACACATGAGCTGACAACACACGTGCAGCTTAACAGCGAACACATGAGCTGACAACACACGTGCAGCTTAACAGCGAACACATGAACTGACAACACACGTGCAGCTTAACAGCGAACACATGAACTGACAACACACGTGCAGCTTAACAGCGAACACATGAACTGACAACACACGTGCAGCTTAACAGCGAACACATGAACTGACAACACACGTGCAGCTTGATGTGTGTGTTTAGCAACAGTGGCAACGATCTTAAGTGATGACTGAAGTTGACTCGTTATTTATGTCAACACTGTTGTGATCAGTTGTGTGTATGTCAGTAAAGTAATGTACCACAACCACAGATACATCAGCGGCGACTCTGAAACAACAACATCCCAGCAGATGTTAATATCACCGTCGCTACGTAACATTTTCCTTCACTTTATCTCTCAGACAACACATACAGGAATTTTATTGCTAATTTTATTTATAAAAACATCTTGCACTCTCAAAACTGATTCATCCAATTATAATTAGAGCATAAAAATTACCATCTTGAAACAAATAAAACGTGACATTATTATTATTATTATTATTATTATTATTATTATTATTATTATTATTATTCACTGGGAAACGATAAAATCGTAGGGTTGATAATTATAGTAATTTCTGAAGCCAGAGATGAGGACTTCGAGAACCATACCACAAATATATTGATACAGGAAGATGTTAAACGAGAGAGAGAGAGTACGAGACTCAGTACAGAACTGTCAGTAACTGTGTGACTACAAGACTCAGTACAGAACTGTCAGTTACTGTGTGACTACAAGACTCAGTACAGAACTGTCAGTAACTGTGTGACTACAAGACTCAGTACAGAACTGTCAGTAACTGTGTGACTACAAGACTCAGTACAGAACTGTCAGTAACTGTGTGACTACAAGACTCAGTACAGAACTGTCAGTAACTGTGTGACTACAAGACTCAGTACAGAACTGTCAGTTAACTGTGTGACTACAAGATCAGTACAGAACTGTCAGTAACTGTGTGACTACAAGACTCAGTACAGAACTGTCAGTTACTGTGTGACTACAAGACTCAGACAGAACTGTCAGTAACTGTGTGACTACAAGACTCAGTACAGAACTGTCAGTAACTGTGTGACTACAAGACTCAGCACAGAACTGTCAGTAACTGTGTGACTACAAGACTCAGTACAGAACTGTCAGTAACTGTGTGACTACAAGACTCAGTACAGAACTGTCAGTAACTGTGTGACTACAAGACTCAGTACAGAACTGTCAGTAACTGTGTGACTACAAGACTCAGTACAGAACTGTCAGTAACTGTGTGACTACAAGACTCAGTACAGAACTGTCAGTAACTGTGTGACTACAAGACTAGTACAGAACTGTCAGTAACTGTGTG